CCTATGGTGGGTTGAGTACAGGACTGACATATTTAAATGCACAGGAGGTCTTGAAGTTGTTATTTTGATTCATGTAAAGACTGGCAAATAAACCTTGATTTATCTTTTATTTCTTAATAATTTACTTGCAGTTCAACTTTAGCAAGGACCAAGCAGAGCAAGAGGTGCCTGTATTTAGCGTTGAAGATGGTTGCCAACCACCCATGCAGCTGGCTTCCAAGCACAGAGATGTCATGGCCGCTACTTTCACCAAATTCCTCCTTACAAATATCGGTGAGTCAAGCTCGAGTTAGTTGTCCATGGGCACAGAGGTGGTTGTAGTTGAGTCTATCACAAGTCCATTGCAAGCCGTCCTCTTGCAAGTCAAGATGAGCTTTTCTCGGGAGCCATAACAAAACCATTCCTTTATCGTGATTCACCTTGTTCTATGCAACTGGCCCAATACAATGATTTGTGACTGGATTTGTGAAGGATTGGACTACAACACTGGTTTTTAAGTTGGTGGCCTTGTGCTATAAGCACACACCAATGATAGGGGTTTTGCTTGTGACCATTAACTTTCTGTGCCAAGACGCACTTTTGTGACGACATAATTCCATAGATGCCACAACGCCCGATTGCATGTGTTACATTGGAGAATTTTGTGTAAGTAATGTATGCCTTTTTAGCTTAGCTTGACATCAGTATAACAGAAGCACCCTCCTAGGATTCAGTGTCAGAGACATGCGCAGCAAAAAATTATTTTACTCGGCAAATAGCTTTCTCAGCAACAAGCTTGGAACCAGTTAGAAGTTCTGCAAGTCGCATTAGCATTTTGGATGTTGATCTGTCTGTACTTGTAATTTAATTTTTTTTTTTAATTTGTAGGAGGATCAGAGACGTTTCAGGACAAGCAGCGATGTTTCCATCGGGAGGTTGTCAGTCTGAAGCCGCGGAAGCATCACTCAGTTGTGACATTGAACATTGACCGGCACAGTCTCTTGGAGAGCGTAAGTGAATTACTGACCAACCATTCATTAGCATCATAGACTCTGTGCACTGATGAGGGAGATCACTTTGTTACCTAGCAGCAGCATCACATGGTGATGCTGTTGCTAGGTATTAAACGAAACTTGGTTTGCATATCTATTAGGTGGTATGGACATAACCAGTTCTCACAAACCAGTCCTTTTGTCTTTAAGGCCTGCAATCACACTCCCACGCCATCACATGCCTAAAAGCTTCCCGAGAAGTGCGAATAATTGCACGCCTGAAACAATCCGTACTGCACTCCTCAGCATGAGTTTACTTTATAATTATATTTTGCCATTTGTGAGAAAATTGAAACGAAAAGAAACATTAGGCCTACCTAATAGTTAGTGATGACAGAATCAATTTTGATTCTCCCTGCGAATCAGTTTTGCGTGACAGCTCTGTCAGTGTACAATCATTCAGCACACCCATGTCGCACTGCGCTGCAGCAAGCATTGCTGCATGCATAATGCTACATACACCAGACTAACATGGCTTTATGAGCTTGTACACATCACATGCAGTGCCATGTGATCACACCACTTCTCAGTCAAATTTTTCCAAGAATTCCCTGATTCTCCCAAATATTTCGTGGAGATGTCTGTACTGTAAAGTTGTTCTGATCACAACAACAGCATTATAAGGAAAAAAAACGTCTGGGCTTTTACTCCCATCTGCACAAAACAATTTCCAGAAGTCAACAAGCTTTCATGATGCAGGCTCCCACGCCCTATGCGTAGTAAACCAACAAAGTCCTTTGAAGTTGAGATTGGGACCAGACCAGTCAATCATGATGCACCAAGTACATGTAGTGCGTGAAAGCCATGAATAAATCATGCCAGCGTGGATCGCAGCAGATCTTTGTGTGCAGACACGTAAACGTCCTGATGTTTCCCAATACATTTTTTTAGTGTTATGAACGGAAATAACTCACATGAAAGAGATTTGGCGAAAAGAAACCTCAGGAAAATCGGGAGATTTATTGGAAAAATTTAATGGACAATATTGGAGTGATCTTGTGGCTCAGTCAGAGGAGCTCTGCATGGTCCGTCGAGGCTGCTATTATGGAAAGGGCATGATTTTATGACCGTCATAAAACCTTGATTCTTTTTACATGTATTGGACATACCGGTATCCCTTCCAGTTTGCTTGACGTAAGCGGGTGTAATCTGAAACTGTTGTACTATTTTTTGTTGGTTTTGTTGATTATTTATATGTAATCTTGACCCAATTTTATCTTTGTAGTTTACTATGTCTTTATTGACTCAAGGTTTTGATTCATTGTTCCAAATCACACTCCTAGGAAAATTGCACACCTGGAAATGTCCAGGGGTGTTTTTTTTTGCGCGCCTTCAATTTCCAAATCACAAGAACTGACAAACCTGCAGGATCTCTTCCTGAGCACCAGGCATGCATCAGCAGTGGTGTTGAAATGTTATCCCAGTGCTCACCGGGCATTTGTGCTTGAATTCCACGCAAAATACTGCTTGGATTTTTCAAAGCCTGTAATCCTACTGATACACAGGTTGGGCAACACAAAATTCAACACGCTCGCATTTGATGCTTTCATTAAAAGCAATTCACAGCAGACTTTCGCCTTGCTTAAAGATACCAAGATCCCATGAGTTCATTGGGTGCACCCTGTTTACAGTGTGTGTGTAGGTTATAAAGGCATTTTATTACAGAAAATGTACAGGAAATTTCAGTGTTGGTACTGTGACTCTGGCAAGGGCAACAGATTCACTGTGTGTATTTTACTTTCTTCTTTTTAGTCCATGAAAGCCACAAAGCCTTTTTCAACTTCTGATTGGTGCAAGAAATTTGAGATCAGCTTCCTAGGAGAAGAAGGTTAGAAGATGAAGTTTACTTGTTGTGTGACTTCAACAGAAAAAAAGACTAGTCTGAACTAATATAAAGGAGAGTGCAGAGTTTTGTCTTTGAGTCATGCTCACTGGCACTCAAGCTGTGATGCCTTGGCTACCTTGTCTACATCGACATATACTGATTACATTTTCGTTTTGTCAATAACAAAACTTAATACTTAGCTCATAGTTATGCCCATACATAAATACTGTTTTAGTCAGAGAGTCAAAAGAAGCCAATATATGATAAAATTCCACAGAGATTTTTGTTCAAGAATTTTACTTTCATTTTCCCAAACACCCCTGTCCATTTTATGGTATATTCCTTGTGCAAGTAGTCCTTGTACAAGGACTTGGCGTGTGCGTGGCAAGTTCTGCATGCCGCAGTTCACACAGACTTTTGACCAATAGGGAATGGATTAAATTGTTTTGTATCCAGGTGCCAGCGTATTTTTATGCAGCAGACATTATCAAATTGCTGCGGGCATTATCAAATGTTAATACACAGTCATGTTCCATGTTTTTAATAGGGAAAGTGTCTAAAGTATTTATAAATGCATTTTAAAACTTTGACCCGGCAGGTCAAGACTGGGGTGGTCTGGGAAGAGAGTGGACGGAGCTGGTCTGCACGGCACTCTTTGCCCCAGAGAATAAATTCTTCAAGAGGTTTCGAGACAACAACCAAGGGCTGGTGAGTGTCAGATAGGGCTGGTCAGATACCTGTAGGCCTCATAGTTGTTGAATTAATTAATTTGAACAGTGTTTTCATCATGTTCATTGTTACTGTCTACTTTCTTAAATTTGAAGTTTTAGGTGTGGTATCAACCTGTTTCAACTACCTGTTCTTCAACCACAAAAAGATCAATTGTAATATGTACAGACCTCCCAACCCTCCCAATTTTGGTGGAAAATTTCCTTTTTTTTCACTTCGTTTCTGCCAATCTAATTTCGCCCCTAAAATTTCTGCCAAATCGCAATTTCGACACGCCTATCATTCACCAGAAAATGTCCATGTAATCTTATGCATGTACTCTACGACAATGCGCCACATCCATGGCAGCGCCCTCTTTTGACGCTTACTTGCAGCGAGTTGGACGTGATCACATGATAAAAAGCCCGCTATTGACAAGCTACATCGTAACTGACACAGTATGCAATGCATGGCATCCGGTTTTGCTCAGAGCCACAGCTAAGAATGTTTGGATCCAAGACTAAGCACTGCTTTGAAATTGTCCACAATCATGTCAAGTGTGCAAGCACCACACAGTGAATTTCGCTGTGAATTCGCACTGAATTTTGCAGTGAATCAACACATTTAGGAGATGAAAATATTTATTGCGGACCATCTAAAATGATGTAAACTCTTGTGGAAATCTAAACTTTATGAAATCAGTGAGTACATGTGATACTGTGCATCATCACGGGCATAACTCTTGCACAGTGCAGCACTGATTTTCCTTGTTCATGGTAGTATGGAGAATATTTCGCTTTTTCATGAAAAATTCCAAATTTGGGAGAAAAGGATTCCGAATTCTTGATAGCCAATGTTGGAAGGTCTGTATTTAATTGCACAAGAAGATGCTTGTCAACCACACATTTATCCATCAGTCTGTGCATAAAATTTGGATGTAGCCAATTTACCCAACAGAAGGACACATCTGTCATGATTCAAGACGGACAGAATATTCACGATATTGTATGTCTCAGGGCTTGTCATCATTTTTTCTTTTTCGTTTTTTTTTTATTTCCTCGTTTAATACGATATGTTTCCTTCATTGGTCAGGTTCATCCCAATCCAGAAAGGCCACCTCACTTGTGCAAGACTAAATACTATGAGTTTGCGGGCAAGGTAGTGGGCAAGTGTCTGTATGAGTCATCACTGGGCAGTGTCACTAGGCAGCTGGTCAAGGCCAGGTTCTCAAGGTCCTTCCTGGCTCAGCTGATTGGACTCAGGGTCTCTCATAAGGTAACTGGCTGGTGATGCCGATGGAAATTAACAGTTTAGCTCTGCCAAATGATGAGATATCCTTCTGGATGCACTTTGAATAGAGGGATTGCACTTCAAATTTTTCAACGGTAGCTCGCCATGCTGAAACGCTTACCAGTACCAGCTATTAACCGTGTAGAAGTAATAATGAACAAATGAGCAGGCTTAGCCAGAACTTGATAAAGGGTTTACCAAATTAAATATCTTAACAGGTCGTCCAAATATCGTGATACACATGACCCACCGTACTAAAACCAGGCCAAGGAACTGTTATCTAGAAAATGATGCCAATGTTCACGTAAACAGTGCCAATTCCACAGCTTTTATTGCCCTGTAAAGACCAAAATTTGTTAAAGGCACAAACCGTTATTTTTGATGACTTTGAGGTATGAAAATTGACTCTGGGAGAGAGATGCATTGTCAAACATGAAAACTGCCGAGTTCAGCCTATTGCAGGTGGTAATTGGTCACATATAACAATGGTGTTATGAGATATTTTGGGTTGTAACGGATTCATACTTCCTACAACATGTTAACAGTAACTGATTGTTGTGATGCGGGATGTGGATTTTGTCTCCAGTGTTACTTTGCACAGAATGTGAAGCTTGGGCCGTTTTCCAATACTCAACTTCGTCTCCGTCTCAGGCTTTGTTCTCAAAACCAATCCCCGATTGTGGGCCTGAAGCATTTAAATTAAATTGAATTACTGTAAGTTTTGGCTCTGTTGCATCTTATTTGATGTTTTGTGGCACTATTAAACTGATTACTGCGCTTACAGCTTCAAAGTCAGCTAGTAAAAAAACAGTTGAAGCCTGAGACGGAGCCGACGTTGAGTATTGGAAAATGGCCCAAGTGTGTCATTTGTTCCCTCATGTGTAACAAATGCCATGTCACACACTGAAATATTCCACAAGGTTAACTGGCTGATTTTGTGGATGCCACGTAGATGAAATTTGTTATTGTGGTAAAGTGCTAATTTTGGTGTTGGGGCCTTTTCTCTCAGTATTTTGAGACGGATGATCCTGATTTTTACACCACCAAAGTGCGCTTTATACTGGACAATGACGTCAACGATATGGGCCTGACCTTCTCTGAGGAGGTGTACAGCAAAGGAGGCCAACTTGCTCAGGTGAGATGGACAAACGAAGCAAGGATAAATTACACATAAAGCAAAGCATGAGGAGAGAAGCCCAGTACGACTTTCAACACTGTTTCATCTAACCTCCTGTCTCATACAAAATTTACTAACCCCCAGTTATTTTACATATGTTTGACACTGGTAAACAGTTTGTTTTTTGCATTGCTTGTCCCCTCAATTCCCTTCCATGATGTACGCATGAATACCCGTGTATAGATAGGCTTTCGTACGCAATGAGTTTATTGATTGTGATAACCTTTGCCTTGTTTGTAATATCATAGTAGGTCAAAGTAGTTATTCATAAGTGGGCTGGAAATGCCATGTTCAGGGGTTTTGTGTTTTTTGCCATATCTCAGTACAACTTCATAAAATTCACTGCTTGCTTCAATCAATTTAAATTTGATACATTTTGGAATAAGCTTATAGGTGCAGTATTTTTTCACACCAATTGCAAAATGAAACTATCCTCTGTCAGTCTATGTTGTAAATGCTGTAAACTTTGTTACTTTTGGAAAGGGAATAAAGTGGAATTATGGGTGTGAAGGAGAGCCATATCCTTGTACAAAAGCATTCAGGTATTTGTGATCTTTCATTCAGGAGGTGGACTTGATTCCTGGTGGAGCCAGCACTCCGGTAACCAATGACAACAAGACTGAGTACTTGGATAAGCTGGCCCAGCATCGACTGGCAAACAACGTGCAAGAGGAAATAGAAGCCTTCCTCAAAGGTCAAATTATTTACCACTTCTCATTTAACCCAGGATTCCTGATCCATACACTAACACTGTTTTGCTTGTGGTTGGTTGGGGAAAAGAGCCCAATGCCATATTCAATGGCCTCGGTTACACGATGAGACCCTAGTGGCTTCGAGACTTGGTATTGAAATATTTTGTTGTCCATTTAAAGGACCATGCAGTGAATTTTTTTTAATTTCAAATTTTGCGCAACTTTGTACTCGTACACGTTTAAAACTATTTGACAAACTTTTAAGGTTAAGTGTATTGAAAAGTGTTTCTTTTTTAAATAAACATTTAAAAGTGCCTATACTCTTTTAGACAGTTGAGGGCACTGTAACTATGATGTCAGAAAAGAAGACACAGTTGAGTTCATAGTTTTCTGCTAAAACTGTGAACCTAAAATTTGCTTTTTGAACACATTTCTGAGAAAGGTTTGCCTGGTGCTTTTAAATCACTAATGAAAAGGAAATTAAGAACAGCAGAAAAATTAAAAATTCCAGTTGATTTAAGGTTTTCTCCCTTGGATTGCATCCCAGGATTTGTCATGAATATGGAAATTTCCATAAAACCCCAAATGCACCAAATACCTTTCAAAATAGCGAACAAAATTCGGAGATGTGGTAATTGGAACACAAGGGTGCATTTTCTAGTGTTTCAGTTGAATAAATACATTGCATGGCCCCGTTTTAAACTTATCTAAATTGATCTTTAATTACGATTTTGAGATAATAATCAATTTGTTATATTACACTCTTTGTCTCAACCCATGTAGGCCTCAACGACCTGATTCCAGACCAGCTGCTCAGCATGTTTGATGAAAACGAGTTGGAGTTACTAATGTGTGGTACCTGCGCTTTTAGTGTGACCGATATGCAGAGACATTACATCCCGTCGGGACAAGGGGAACAGTTCGGTCAGGTGAGCAGGTTGAAGTGAAAATCACCTTTAGTCCGTAGTCACAACACATGCTCAAGTGTTGGCTGTACCTACAGCCTGTGATTGGCAAGCTGAGGTGAGAAAATTCCATCCAACTGCTTTGAGTGTGTCCAAGTGACCTGGCAGTGGCTTGAAATTGCATACAACTCTATGGGAAGTTGCTACAGCCGTGATCATAGACCCCTTTGTGAAGTCAAGCTGCAGGCAATTGTAGGAATGGTCTAGGTAACTTAGGTGAGTGTCTTTGAATGTAGTGAGGCAGTACCTATCCGTACTCGAGATCTATTGGCAAGGTGGTACCAATTCTTTCACTTTGTATCTCAGAAGTGGAAGAAAGTAGGAATTGTACCTCCTCGTGAGTCTCTATGAAGAGTTGTAAACCCACCTGTTTAACCTGGTACTCATATACACTTAACACTGATGCAGATCAAATTTGGCGTTACTGAAGTTGTGAAACATGAATGCCTGTGTGGTGGCTTGTTGTGTTACTGTGTCCTTCTATTTTTCGGACACTCATCTCGTTTCCCTGCCCGTTTCCACCCCCCTTAGATGCTGGACTGGTTTTGGACTGTCGTGGCCAGCTTCACCCAGGAAGAGATGGCCAGACTGCTGCAGTTCACGACCGGCTGCTCCCAGCTGCCTCCGGGTGGCTTCGCTGAACTCAGCCCCAAGTTTCAGGTCATAGCCGCGCCGACACACGGCACGCTGCCAACTGCACATACATGGTAAGTCACCCGTAACCGTCTATTATCTCCTCCCTGGAATATGACCTATAGATAACAGGGTTTGTGTCGTGTTCCACTTGGAAATATTTTGTTACCATGAAAGGGGATTAAATTATAGTTAAGTATACTTGACAGTTTAATGGGACAATTTTCTCATTTTAAAAGATGTGTTATTTTTAGATTGACCTCTTTTATTTTTAATGGATAAAAGTGAGCAGAAAAAATGTGTCAAGTCACAAACAATAGAAAACATGCATCACATACTCAAATTTGAATTCGTTTCAAAAGAAATTCCACCGGGAAAAACATTTTTTTAGAAAAAGCGCACCTACAATATCTGCTGGAGTTTTAATGAAATGATCATTTACACAGCTTCAACCAGCTTTGCCTGCCAACTTACGACAGCATCGAGCACCTTCAGAAGGCTCTGGTGTTAGCCATCAACGAGGGAGGGGAAGGTTTCGGTCTACTCTGATGTCCCCTTGCTCCCTTTCTGTGACCACCAACACCACCCTCAAGTAAAAACAACCTGAAATTGTGAAAATTATCTCACCTCACCAAGGTAACGGCCTTTCCTGGTGCCCTTTTTTTAAAGGAAGTTTCTGGTGTCTAATTCAGACCTTGTACAGGTATGTGGCATGCAAAAATCTAAAAGACAGGGAAATGACATGAACGAAATTTTGGACACAAAATGTCTGCATATTTTTCCACTGTAGCACAGATGAAAGTAATTTGTTTGCATCAGTCTTTAGAACATGGTGAATTAGTTTCATTGCATAGATAGTTTTAAGACATGTGAAATGTAGGCCTTTTGGTCATTACTTTGTAGGTGAATTTGATCAAAGTGGTAATTGAAATCACATACATAGGAATGTTTGCATAATTTGAATGTTGCTGCCTTGTTTGGATTTATGTAAAGAGTGTCTTGTTCATTATTTTTGTGCATTTTTTTTGGTACAATTGTTATGCTTAATTTTGTGCTTGCTAAAAGCAAGAATGGTCACAGTCTTTTATTGAAGGTGCAATCTATATTTATTACGCTTTGTATTCTTTCATCATTTCATGGATTTTTTTCCAAGCCAAATATAAATTTGTGTCAAGCGTAGCTGTGTCAATATATGCTTTCATGTAAATTTCATGAGAAACTGCAGTTTTACTGAGTTTAATGTATCATTCTTTTGCTACTTAACTTTAAAGTTAGTTACATGTAAGACGAGATGATGTGGTCAAGGCAGGTTTTTTAACTGGCTCACTGCAGCTGTAAACCTGATTCCATCGCCACCTATGAAGTCACTCTGTGGACTAACTTAAGCCAACAACAGCGTTCTTGATTGGGCAGTTCACTTCAGGCTGCTGTAATGAGGTTTCTGATATGAATGTCGTCTTATTTGCCTCTCTCAGTTGGCGCTATTGTCAATGCCACTGAATCATTGTTAGAGGAATTAATCTGATGGAGTTGATAAATCGATGGCTCACTGCATGTTGGAAAAGGTTGACATCACATGACTTTCCCATAGCAATCATGCACGGCTCTAAAGCATTGTACTTTGTCCAAGCTACCGAGCCAAATCTTGTAAATCCCCCCATCTTGTCGCAAAACAGGATGTTGCGATAATTCAGTCGTTTCTTCAGTGTGTGAAGTCACATCGGTCACACTCACTTGGATGTCCACCATCTTCAAAGCATGGTACGTGCAGTCAGTAAAGCATCACATAATTACCAAGGTCAATCTGTGAGCCTGAAAAAGACCTGATAGGGTATCAACAATCGGGGTTGCATTATAATGTAACTCACTCCTATTTTTAAAGTTGATGCCTGAGGAAAAATAGTGCTAAAGCAATCTGAGCCGTCAGGTTTACCCAATGAAGAAATGAATAACAGGAAAAATGATGGAGGTTCCTTTACTACAGGGATGCTAATTTGGGGCTTTTTTAAAGGTGCATGATTTTGTACATGTACATGCACTAGCTTGTAATTCGAGGAGTGCATTGGAGTTTATGAAATATTCTTAACAAGATATTTGTACATAGAATTTTTTACGCAGAGAAATTTGTACACAGAGAGTCAGATTCAGCTCACAAACGCTTTGGTGTAACTTTTTTGCTGGAGGAATGAATGAGATAAGTACGCTTTGAAATGTTTGATACTGAGCGCTCACACAACTCTTTCAAGGTAATTGGAAAGCCCAAATTACTTACTAAACATTTCATCTATCTGTAAAGCATTTCCTGCTTCACTCCATGACGCTAGTGTTTGGTCCTTTCAGGCTAGAACCTAACCACAAAGTTTACTAACTGCTGACTCGTCTTTCCAGCGGTATGAGTATGTGTACTGTGTGCACATGTTTAGTCTGGTCAAGTCAAACGTCTTTTGCCATGTTTGCAAGGTGCATTTCACTCACGCTTCTGTCCATGAAACCATTCCACCTGCAGCCACATCTCAGGTATATGATCTATTTTATACAGTGTCTTTGCAAATGAATGACAAAAAGGATACAATTTGACCAAGAATTCAAGATAATACGAGTAAGTAAATCATGTTCTTAATGACAGTGTGGTTTGAGTGACTGTAAGTGGTCCAGTTCAGCCCAATAATCTTCTTGTCATGGTGGAAACAGAATGTTTTGGTCAAATATATGAAGGATAAACATGTGCAGATGAACACTTAAGCTGTTGCTTCGAGGATAAAGTGTTCTTCAGATGCATAAAAATCAAGACATAATAATACATAATTTATATCTGGAAGAATGTTTTATCGAAAGAGTCCTTGAACTTGAGTCCTCAGGTTTCTGCTTATGTGCACTCTTTAGCTGAATTGACTAAGGACTATGTTACTAGGACTCACATTTAATGCCCACTGTTTTCGTGTAGAAATAGAAAAAAAAAGGTACGTTGGTATGTGGTCTAAGATTCAAAGCTTGCTACTGCCTTTTACTTACCGAAATTGAATCACTTTTCCTACATTTTCTTTCAGTTTGAAAAGTACTACAGCCCTTTGTGTTGGTATTAGTTCATAAGATTCATTAAATTTCCATCAGGAATGCTTGTACAATGAATGTGTTTTTAGGCTTGCTGCCATTATCATTAAGCTCAAGGTAGTTTCCTGCTCAACTTGTTTTCTTGTTTTATCATTCAATATTTATCCCTTCACATACATTTTTCTAGTTTCATCCAGTTTTGGAAGTAGGACTTATGTTGTTGTAATGGGTCTCTTGGTGCCAGAGTATGTGTATGCCGATACATATAAGTGCTATACTAAAAAAGCCACTTCCATATTTCATTCAGCTGAAATTTTTGGGATAAAAAACACACCATGCGTGTCCTGTTCAGTGCTTGTGTCTTGGCATGCAATTTAGTTGATCATGGCATATCCGGCTTGCACGTACAGTATATGTTTATCCCATTTCATGGTGTTTGATTACCGAACTAGATCATTGATAATACACATGTATACACTGTGCGATAAACACATTATTGCATTATTTGTCAAGAAACGGAGAGTTGAAATTGAGTACCCAGCCAGTGATGCACACCGGAAGGTTGCAAACATGCAGGCAATAGTCAGTTATGAATACCCTGAGAGTACTCAGACAATTACATTATACAACAATGTTTTTTCCTCATTACAAGGAGCAGTGATAAGGCTAGTTAAAAATGTTTTCTTTTCCCCAGCATTTTTAGCCTCTGCTCACTTAAAGGACTTGAACTGTTTGTTTATGGTATAATAGATCCTGCCAACATCTTCTTTCCATAATTCAGTAGTGTAATCTTGTCAGTCCTATAACCAACTGCAAAGTCACCACTCAGGTCAGCATTAATGAGTAATTGGGATGAACAGTTTATAGACAATTTTGTATTTCATTGAATAGTTTGTGACTTAGATGACTTGTTTACTACTTTAATGAAGTGGTATCGTTTAGCGCATCCGTTAAGGATTTGGATTCTCTCTCGCTTTTTTCTTCTCAGAAACGGTTCATGTGAGTCCTTGCTTTTATTCTCTTGTTAAGAGAGGATTATCTTCACCAGTATTTGGTGTTTCTTAGAAGAAAACAGCAGTTATTAGTAGGTACGTGTTTCTTATTGAATGTGTAGAGTAAGTCTTTAGCCTGACGTGTGTAATTTTACAATCAGTGAATTCATCACAGCTGTTTAGTTGGAGTTATTGTAGACCCATTTTAAGTGGTCATTGTGTTGCCGGTACCAAAGGGCTTTAGTATTGTTGTCATTTAGGTGTTTATCCAGTATGCTGCTTGTCTTAATCATTTTGAGTGCATTGAAAGTGCAATTATATTAACATTGACAGTAAAAGTTAATTTGTTAGACGGAAGTGTACTCTAGTTTAATATGTGGAATATGGTTCGTGCTTGAGTTGGCCTTTGTTGGGGTTTTCTTGGATCACCTCGAGTGACCGAGCTCATAGGGTCCATTAGCAATTTCATGGGATCACCAACCCCCACCCCCCAATTAGATCAATCAAGTTACGCCCCTCTACATGTAAATATGAGTCAGGGAACTGCACAAGCATCCATACGGTAACCAAATCTGTAATCTGTCTCTCACAGAGAGAAACAGATAGATGCCTTACCCAAGAGTGCAGGGCCCATCGTGCCTGTTGCAGGAAATCATCTCACGTTTTTTAATACCTCCCCCCATGAACTAATTACAAATAGTTCAACTAAAGCTGCTCATACTCAAAGAAAGGACAATGCTCGCTTGTGTATTTTACAGTTGCTGCTCTGTGATCAATGCGACCGATGTGCGTTGTTTCAGAAAGAAACTGAATAGTGTTTATCGCTGATCCAAAGGTGGATCGTGAACCAAATTTTTAGGGGGCCAAATTGGTATTTGCGGAAGGGATTCGGCAATGCTCCTGTGCCCCTGCCTCCACTCAAAACAAGTCTCCAATCGCACGTCCAAAAGACTGTGTGCAAATTAACCACAGAATCAAAACATCTGCTTCAGACAGGTACAAAAGGCACAACGGTCACTGTGCTTGTAGCCTACGAAAAAAATCTGAGGCCTAAGAAAAATTGGAGGTGGACGATAAAACACGCACAGTTGTGTTCAAGCTTTGGCTTTAACTTGAATTTTCCATTTTTGGAAAGCTTCGAATAGCCAGACCAGCTCAGCTGAGCATTAACATGAAATGCAAAAAGTCAGCCTTCAATGCTGAGAGATTGGTGTTGATGCAGTGGGTAGATAGTAGGTCCTACCATGGAGCTATTTCTTTGCTCCATACGGAACGCAGATCCCGGGGGCTGTATGTATGTAGTACTGCTAATCCGGCCCGACTACAGGCTGTATACTTGCAACCATCTTGATAGTCCGACACGTTTCCTGAACTTTGGCATGTTGGCTTTTCACGTTCTCCTTTCAAAACGTTTGTGTGAAACTGTTGTTCCCAAAGCATAATTCATCCCTTTCTCTGCGTGGTGTTAAGAGTATATTTCACCATCAGAAAAATTAATTGCAAAAAATTTATTTTCTAATGACATTTTTTTAATACGGATATAATAATGTGAATGGGCTTAATACACCGACATTACTAATAATTGCAGACAGCGATTATCCGTGAATATGTCCTTGAGTGTTATTACAATAGCACACATGCAGTTGGTTGCAAGGTGCCTACCCAAGTCCAGCTTACTAAGTAAACAATATTCTCTTTTGGTGCCCAAGAAGATTGGAGATTATCGTCGAGTGGCAAATCGATGCCTTATTTCGGCAACAGTTACTAAGACCAGACAGTCGTAGAATTTGTCTCAGATTCATTTTTCACAGTCTGAAGATTTTTACCGTCGTCCACATTTCATGTCAATGGCCACGTTCTTTACGGCAATATGCCTTTGAGATACCCCCCCCCCAAAAAAAGGTTATCTTTGGTTTGCCCTTACATTCTCTTTGTATCTTTAAGTTAATGCGAGTTTGAAGAGCTTTATTCTGTACTTTTGATGTTTTGTTTGAATGTGAAATTCTGTATACAACCACCGAGATCGTTTGCTTTTAATTTGGAAATGGATGTCTTTGTTTCACGTAGGAGATGCGTATCGCCTATGTGAAACAAAGACATGATGACGAAAAATTTGAACTGTTCAGAAATGGATTGGTAAAGTCGTTGTTTTAGATGTTGTAATGTTATTTTGTAAATAAAAAATCTTTAAATAAACGAATTTAGAGCCTCATGGAAGCACAAAATTCTTCCTTTTTTTCTTTTCTCCCCCCCTGCAAAATCTTGCTCGTTTTATTTCGATTGTTACCTCTGTGGCCCTAAAGGTTTTAAAGAATATACATGATGGTTATTAATTCGTTTCTATTGAAAGTGAAGAGACAGTTTCACTAATACCCATAATCATATACCAAATACACATAACGATTTTGTACAGTTTGTCAATGCAATTCAAAATTCTCGATACCGCTGAAAGAATTGCTAGTGTTTTGTTTCAACTAACAATATTACCAGTTTGTGCTTTTTGTAATGCCTGTTGAATTTATTTTTACACACAAGTGCAGGAATGACTTGTATTTTGCTGTTCTAAATGTGTTTTCGTAAGTTCGAGGATTCATCGTTGTGTGAATACATGGTATACACCAACGAGCAACTTTCTCGGAAGTGTTTTCAGTGAGCAAATTTGCGGTTCGCTCTTGGCTCGTTGGCTCTTCCCCATATGGCATCACAGCGACAGTTCACTGAGTTGTCTGGAAAAGTAATGTTTAAACAAGTTCAGGTTGACTTTTCGGTATATTTCATCTCAAAAGGAACACAAAGTGTTGCACCAAAAGTGCATCAAAGAAAACTTCACCGCATGGACCCTTGGGTGCTTTGAAGGACCCACGTTACCATGAGCCGATATAGGCCCACGTCCAACATTTTGTCGGTGGCAAAGACCACGAGACTGCACGCTAGTTGATTGTACATGCACCATCACAATTGCCTTAAAAGCTTCAATAAATGGCATAAATATTAAGGGGAAAAACGTATTGGCAGTACCCAATGCTGAATCGGCACGATCACAATTTAACATTGCACAGGTAATGACAAAAAACATGTGATAAAGAATCCGCGGTTACGTTGTGAAAATAAGCAATGAGAGGACCTTTCTTAGGACACAGTGTGCAAAAAACGGTTGATAACCAAACGCTTGCCCACTGCATTGGTGGCCAATCTTGAGGAAACAAACTGGTCACATGGTCGTCTACGACAATGAAGTATTCCTTATCTCCAAGGGAGCCCGCCGCTTTTCCGGTGATGTACCTCCCCGACAGTTCCTGCTCACTTCCCAGCCCGTCAGATTTTTTTTTCTGTTTTCTTCAATCTTGTGACATGCACATACACGTACTTCAGTGTGAAAACATTTGCAGGGCCCGACCAGCCGAACAGTACGATCGCGCGATTGCGTTGCACTATCAGTTGTTCCTGTAGAAACTGAATCTCCAGCTTCACTTCCCGTTGTGAAACAGTCTCTGCAGCCGTGAGTTAAAAACAACAGGCAGCCCTCCTCTGGCACCTTACATAATAAATCAAAAGTCCAGTGATGCTCTGTCGACAATTTTTTTCCTCTTCCTTTTTCTTGTCTGAATGTGTTCCCAGAACGGCAGTGCACGTTCCAATTCGTTGCTGAGACCGAAGTCCTGACATGTCAGAAACTAATAGACAACTTGATGACAAGTGCCTCGCCTATTACCACGAAGACCTTGCTCATGTCTTGAGACTCCCCGTCTCGATCCATGTTACTACTGACGGCGATGATACCAGTGTTACTTTCGATCTTCAGTTGGTGACCTTCCATCAAAGCAGCAGAGTAGTCATCAGTAGAATCAGAGGTACCAGCGTTGATGATGACTAGGAAGGAATCGAATCCCAAGGTATCAGGCATGCGAAGGAAGGAGAAGATCGTTTCTGTCACAATTACGTACTTGAGGTGATTGGTCTGGAAAGCAGGCTCGTCTTTCCGAAGGGCTGCCATTTTTTTGAAGAGCGCCAACACGGAGGTGTTATCTACCCTTTGGTCAGCAACGTTGACTCCTTTAAGATAATTCTGGTTGACGGGAAGCCACGTTTTGCCTATTGTGGTGCTGAAACCAGCGTGGGATGTCCTGTCCCACTGCATCGGAGAACGCTCTGGGTCGCGTGTGTACTCTTTCCAGTGATTGGGGTTGTTCCTGGCAAACGGGTCTCGACTTTCGTCGTACGACACCCAGACGTCTCCCATTGCTATCTCCTCACCGTAGTAGATTTTCGGGGTACCCGGGAGAAGAAGGTTTAGTACGTTCAAGGATCGAGCGTATTTAACCCCTATACGATCGGGGATGCGGAAATTGTCATGGTTGCCAATGAGCCAGTTTGGCCACTTATTTGGAGGCAGGTCCTTCATCCAATCATTGACCAGCTCGTGGATTTTAGTCCCAGACAGGTTTTCCTTCTTCAATTTAGTCAAGACATAATTAAAGGGGAAGTCTGCCTCTGGACGATCCAGGGTTCCATAATATGGGAGAAGGGCCTTGTGGGTGTCGTAAGTCTCAGTCACCATGAACCGGTAGTTGGGTTCCACACTGTACTCATCTAGGACACTCCGCCACACGTACAACAGGTCGTGTACCCGTGGGAGATCAGCTGTCTTGTTGTGAATGAGGCTGTGGTATTGGGGTCGCTCGCCTGGTACTGGCGTATAGTCGGGATTTACTGGTTCATCTTCCAAGTCTTGGCTTTCGTAAATGTGTCTGATTGCGTCGACACGAAAACCGTCCACCCCTTTCTTCAGCCAGAATCTCAGTACGTCTATTATCTCTAAATGCACGGCAGGGTTACGGTAATTCAGATCCGGTTGACTTGTAAGGAACTGATGCAGATAGAACTGTTGCCTCTCTGGCACCCACTCCCATACTGTGCCACCCAGTAGCCCTACCCAGTTATTTGGAATGCACTGTTCAGGCGGATCAGAGCAATTCTGTCTGGGGTTAACCCACACGTAGTAATCTTTATAGGGATTGGATTCATATTTATTTTTTCTGCTTTCAACAAACCACGGATGCTGGTCGCTGGAGTGGTTGGGGATAAAATCCACCATGACTTTAAGCCCGAGCCGGTGCGCCTTAGTGATCAGCTCGTCAAAGTCAGCCATAGTTCCGAATATGGGATCGATATCCTTGAAGTCAGCCACATCGTAGCCGAAGTCGGCCATAGGCGACTTGTACACGGGATTCAACCAGACTGTACCTACCCCGATGTCGTTGAAATGCTCCAGCCGAGAGGTAATACCAACCAGATCCCCCACACCGTCGCTGTCAGAGTCCATGAAAGAGCGCGGGTAGATTTGGTAAATGATTGTGTTCTTCCACCATTCGTCCCATCGAAATCCAATTGCCAGTGTGAATGCCAGTGTCAAAGTGACAAATACGGACAACATGGAAAACTGAAACGGTGACATGTTCAGGCTATCATGTGCTTGCCTTCCTTCTCCAGACGATCAAAAATTCTTCCTCACTCAGTGGAAATGTATTTTTTGGAAGGGCAAGGCTGGCAAAAAGGAACAGCAAGCCTCGTTTGTTGTTATGCACGTCCTCAAGTTTGCGGAATGGATTGTCAGCTTTCGGCATTTATCTCTCAGGCAAAATAAAATGGGCAAACCATCTGTTGAGGGCTGTAAATTACCGAGGGGTTTAATGTAGTTTTCACGCTACCACTAAAAGCGGTTTTGTTCTGAAAGCATGCGTGTGTTTGCTAGGGTTATTTCTCTTCAGACTCCATTTTAAAAGGATCATATAACTTTTATCCACCTGAAGTATTGGCATTTCTGATTAAATTAACAAGGATGTCATGAACAAGAGATAAACCTTGGAAAATTGAATAACAAATGGTAATATAATGGGCTTGGTATCCATATAAAACCTCTGTGCTTATATTGCTTCACGAGACTGACCGAACGGCTCCAGCCCAGAACTCCACCACTCACGTTTTATCAAATATGGTGACACGTCTTTGTCCTTATTGTCATCAGCCGTGACCCACGGCAACCACTGTACAACAGATGTACTTGCATGGATGCAAGTTGAACAGGCTGCAGTGAAAACGTCCGCAATTTTGAGCCCTAGAAACAGATGTTTTGTCCATTTTACCTGGCTTAATCAAAAATATCAAATGCCGCAAGCACACGATCCATTCTGCAAAATTATATGAGGACGTGCGTCATAAAGGTGCGAGGCGTGTTTCTTTTGTAGGCCTTGCGCTACCAAATTGTAGTTTCCATTGAAGAAATTGTTCGTCTGAAGGAAAGCGGGCTATACGCTGAACATGGCGCCCTTTCAGATTTCCATGTTCTTCGTATTTGTCACTTTGACACTGACATTCACACTGGCAATTGGATTTCGATGGGACGAATGGTGGAAGAACACAATCATTTACCAAATCTACCCGCGCTCTTTCATGGACTCTGACAGCGACGGTGTGGGGGATCTGGTTGGTATTACCTCTCGGCTGGAGCATTTCAACGACATCGGGGTAGGTACAGTCTGGTTGAATCCCGTGTACAAGTCGCCTATGGCCGACTTCGGCTACGATGTGGCTGACTTCAAGGATATCGATCCCATATTTGGAACTATGGCTGACTTTGACGAGCTGATCACTAAGGCGCACCGGCTCGGGCTTAAAGTCATGGTGGATTTTATCCCCAACCACTCCAGCGACCAGCATCCGTGGTTTGTCGAAAGCAGAAAAAATAAATATGAATCCAATCCCTATAAAGATTACTACGTGTGGGTTGACCCAAGACAGAATTGCTCTGATCCGCCTGAACAGTGCCTTCCAAATAACTGGGTAGGGCTACTGGGTGGCACAGTATGGGAGTGGGTGCTAGAGAGGCAACAGTTCTATCTGCATCAGTTCCTTACAAGTCAACCGGATCTGAATTACCGTAACCCTGCCGTGCATTTAGAGATAATAGACGTACTGAGATTCTGGCTGAAGAAAGGGGTGGACGGTTTTCGTGTCGATGCAATCAGACACATCTACGAAAGCGAAGACTTGGAAGATGAACCAGTAAATCCCGATCATTTGTTGGTGCCAGGTGGTCACACCTCCTACGACAGTTTTATTCATGACAAGACGTTTGATCTTCCGGAGGTGCACGAACTTATCTACGAATGGCGATGCATTTTCGATGAGTACAGCGCCGAACCCAACTATCGGATCATGATAATGGAAGCAAACGACACCCAACGTACGCTCCTCCCATACTATGGAACCCCAGGCCGCCCTGAAGCAGATTACCCTTTCAACTTTGGACTCACAAAATTAAATAAGCATACACTATCCGGAAAACTGATTTACGAACTTGTCAATGATTGGATGGAGGACTTACCACAAGATAGGTGGCCAAACTGGGTGATTGGCAATCACGACTGTTCTCGTATTTCTGACCGTGTGGGAGTTAAGTACTCCAAAGCTTTAAATGTCTTGAATATGCTTCTTCCCGGAACCCCAAAGACTTACTATGGGGAGGAGATAGTTATGGAAAATACCTGGGTTTCACTGGACGAATCCCAGGATCCGTACGCCATCGTTCACCCCAATGGCTGGAAGAAGTACACACGCGACCCAGAGCGTTCCCCGATGCAGTGGGACACCACATCCAACGCTGGTTTTAGCACCACAACAGATAAAATGTGGCTTCCTGTTAACCAGAACTACCTCTTAGGAGTCAACGTTGCTGACCAGAAGGCAGATAACACCTCCGCGTTGGCGCTCTACAAAAAATTGGCAGCCCTTCGTAAAGACGAGCCTGCTTTCCAGACCAATCACCTCAAGTACATAATTGTGACAGAAACGATCTTCTCCTTCCTTCGCATGCCTGATACCTTGGGATTCGATTCCTTCCTAGTCATCATCAACGCTGGTACCTCTGATTCTACTGATGACTACTCTGCTGCTTTGATGGAAGGTCACCAACTGAAGATCAAAAGTAACACTGGTATCATCGCCGTTAGTGGTAACATGGATCGAGACGGGGAGTCTCAAGACATGAGCAAGGTCTTCGTGGTAATAGGCGAGGCACTTGTCATCAAAGTCTCCGTAGAGTGAACAAGCGCGCCCATGTAAAGGTTACCAGGGGCGGATCCAGGATTTTCCAGAAGGGGGGGGTGGCGTCGGCGTGAACTGAAGCAGTAATGGTAAAATGCCCGACGGCATGGGGTCCGGAGCCGTTTTGTGTTCTAGGCGCACTGTGGTGCAATTTTAGCCAGTATGGCACCTCTTTTTCTTCTTTTTCATTCATATTTTTGGGTGCGAAAAGGGGAGTGTGCACCTTCACACCTCCCTGGATCCGCCCCTGATTAATTTACCGATATCAATTTCAAATGGCTTTTCTTGCCAACGCAGCAATGCAACCGTTCACGGTTTCTGAGAGACTGCCATAATATGTATCAGTGGACAAACCGACCGATTTTTACAACCTGTCGTCTACATTGGAAGATACTGGTTTCGTTATATTTCCAGTAAATCAACAGAGCATTATGCTTATTGTAATGCACATACCAATCAGCAATTTCATCACAGTTAATTATATGAACAAACTGAGTGGTAAGGATTTGAAGACGAGGTATTTGCTTTGTTGAATTAGAATCCTACTTTATGTAGCACTTTTAATTCTGTGTCATTAAGTGGTATTGTTTTTCTTCATTTGGTGTGACGTTGTGCATTTAGTAAAATAAAATGTTGGCGCAATCTGTTATCTTTCTGTGCGCGCATAGACCACTATTTTAATTTCTTCGGAGGAAGTGGAGTTGTGAGCGGCCTTAAAAATGAAATGAGCAGAGGTGATTATTGTAGCTGTAGTGTAATTCGACAACCAGAATGAGGAACCATTACTGTGGTGACACAACACTCGTGGACAAGTGGTACGGGCGCCGCGTTACATGCCTCTTCGACCCAAAAGGGTGTAGTGTTTTTCCAAATGCTATCGCACGTCAAGCTGAAGAATGTGCGTGTGAGTGGGGTGGTAACCACTGATCTCCATTATGAAGACTTAACAATGGAGATCAGTGGTTACCACCGCAGTTATGGCGTCTAGTCGGCTAGTCTATAGATTTCCTCAGCCACTAATCCTTTTCATGTAAGATCTCGTAATTTTCTACAAAGGTGTTTTGCATAATGGTAGTTCAGGATTACGAAATCAATGTGCAGAGCAGAGTGCAAAGCAGGTTCTGAAAACTCTTAGGCCTATTTCATGATTTGTTACACGTTATTAGTTTATCAGACAGTTTCAGTTATGGTCTCGTTTTACTATCATTTTTGGGGTCGTCTATGTAGTTGGCGGATGCTATAACCTCTGGGCAAGAATTGTTACATCCTCCACTGATCTGTGTCGTAGTCACATCCATTACAAGACAAGTGCCATCTCTTTTTGAAGAACAACCACGAGTAAGAAGGTGAACAATGACAAAGGAATGCTCTGTCAGTTCGTTGGAATATAGAGTTTGCGACCTGCATCAGCTAAGACCTTGCCTGATTCGTGATGAAATTATGATGGACTTGCAGGAACTTGTGATGGGCTCGGCTATGCAACATTATTGTAAATGCTTTGTGAATTTTCTGCAGGATATTTAAGAAAGCAGCCTAAGCCATTTGTTCATGTATGATGGAAGCATAATTGGGGAAAGTGAATTAAAGGATTGATCTAATAGCCTGTGTTGCTTGCCAAGGCATGTCAGCTGACCACGCTCACTGACCACTTGCCTGGCTCTCCGCATCACACCTGAGTTAACTGCGATATATCAATTCGTTGGGTTTTTAGGAACTCTTAAAGCTTGAATGGACCACTTGCAGCTATCCAAACATCAACAACATCGCTTCACGTGACTTGGACGTCACATATCGGTACAAGCGGCAAATGAGAAAAGCAGTGTTAAGGCACCTTTCCATTATGTGCATTTTTTTGGTGCGTTGCGTAACGATGCATGAATGCATTTCACTTTAACGGGCAAGAAAATCGCCTCCATTAACACAACACACGTGTGTGTTCGTTTGGCCGTCACAATCGCCCCAATTTTGATGGATACGCCACAGCTGGCACAAGTGTTGAGGCGTATACGGAACGGCCCCTTTATCGTGCAAGCGCGTTCAATTTGACATTCACGTGACCCTCGCGCTAAGTTGATGACCACTGGTAGAGCCGGTTACTTGAGGAAGTATCGCAAAATACAGTGCAGAAAACCGGCGGTATAGTCGAGCGTCATGTTACGAAGCAAAGTTAAATCCGTTGAATGTTTAAAAAAAAAAGAGTTGAATGTAGGGGCAAATCTGCTCAGTCAACTAAATTCTGTGAAAGAAAGACGAAATGTACGTTTGGATGTCTGTTGCTCAGGGGCAGGTCTAAGAGAGGTCAGGCCTGTAAGACTGTTTATATCTGAATGTTGCAGACGGACAGGCACTCAGGAAATGCTTTACACTGTTGCCGATGTACAAATAATAACCGTTAAAGGATGTCTTCTGTTCTGTTGTTAAACTGTACTATTTTTATTTATTCATTATTTATTTTGTTTTGATCAGAGCTGGGGTTAGCCCCCCCCCCCATCCTGTTGCTGTAAACTGTTCGTCAGATTCACTTTGCTAATACAATCGATGTATGACCTTTTGACCAGGGGCCTCCGTTACTTGAGATCGTTCGTTTATCACTAGATATTGCGCATACTCGTCTAAACGTATGACAAATCACCGTCAAGCGCGAGGGGTGTAATCGAACGCTTCGCCTATGCTTGCCTGAAAGAAGGTTTTCACAAGAGTGCGCACTAATAAATACGGAAACTTTTGCATTACATCCGATTCCATTGTCCAGAGCCGGTCTAGGTATTCATTCCATTAGAAATATGTGGAGACTCGCAGATACAATAGACCTAGCCGTAGCTCTGGAAGCCCGTTTTGACACGGCCTGGGTCAAGAGACACAAATTTTATGTATTTCTCGTAATATATACTACTGACAGAGAAAAAACTTCAACCGTTTAGTTGTTAATTCGTTTTCAGCAAGGCAGTGCGTAGACAGACGAATATGCACACTCTGGCGGATGAGATATCCCAACAAGACAGCACCTGCATTAATACCAAGAAGAAGAAATAGCATAAATAAAACAAATGTAACCCTTTTAAAATACGGTCTACAATAGATAGAAGGTGAATTTTTGGCAGAGACATCTTTTGTGCTACCTTATGCGCCTTGAGCAGAAGCACCCCCTCATCGGTTGAAAAGAGTCATGTTGGTGGGGAAAGTCGGTTCATTTTGTTGGTAACGATTCGACCGTAACGCGTGCATTTCATAGTTCTTCGTGAACCAGGAACTGAGTGTAGTTATCCCACCAAAGAAGCCTCCATTGCTAAGAAAATTGCGCCCTCTCTGGTCCAGCTCGGAGCTCATAGTATGATTTGAAACTATTTTACGTTCTTTTGGGGTAGAGTATGTTGAAAGTGCACTGTTTAAACATTCATAATTGTCCATGTTCTTCCCGACAACAGTGGGCCGCTATGCTGTGGTGTCCATTCATGAAAGACACTGTCCAGGTCAATAGTTATCTGTTCGAATTGTGAACCAAACTTTGCTCACTGTCAGCATTGCGAGAGAGAATTGCTTGTTGGGATATTGCCCGATGGGTGCCTCAGGAGAATTTGCCCCAATTGTCTGGCCAAATAAGATCTCAAATGAAGAACAATACAACAAAGGCTTAGGCATGTCCTCGGAATGGTTCAGAGCCGTATACCCAAGATTGCACTCAGATAGACTCCATCTGGGAAGAGGAAGCTTTTCCGGCCAAAAACAACCTGGAGACGTACACTGATGGCAGAGCTGAAAGAGATGGGTTTGACATGGGGCGAGGCACAACGTGCCGTTAATATTAAGGAGAGGGCCCGTTGGAAGCAAATTGTTGACGCCTTGTGCCCAACTGGGGGCGAAGGGGACTAAGTTATTATTGCAATGTACTTACACAAAAACAAATCAGTAAAGGAAGGAAATTTAGGATATCAATTACAATTAAAACCAGTGACATAACTACGGGGGGATAGGGCACTCCCCCCCCCCTCCGCGGATGCCCGTGCCCCCGGGTTTCCCCTCCATTTGGAATGTGTAGACAGTCTCCGTTGAAATGCAACTGCATTTTAGTTTCTTTAAGTGCCCCCTTGAAAACATGTGTGCACCCAGTTTGCCCCTCCACACACAAATTTAGCCCTAGCTATACGTCACTGATTAAAACTGAATTAAAACTGAAAAACAGAGACATATTTCAAAGATTTTATTCAAAAAGAGTGGCCATACATGAATCCTTTGAAGCAAAAATATGTTCAGTTTTGATGTATGTTTGGAATCGATATGCAATGGTTTGGGTTTGGTTGGGCGGGTAAAGGTATATATGATTCTAGCCCATTTTTACCAACAGTTGGGAAGATTTTGCCTCCCGAATTACGTAAGTGCTGTGTCCTCCTTTGTTTTTCACTTCTTTCCCTGTTTCTTTTTCCCATTTTATTTTTATGTCATTTTCCCAGGAAAGTGGCAAAGCACGCTTGAATCAGTGAGGGGGATACAGGGGTGGCATCCTCCCCAAGAAAACACAATACCAATCCCTCCTTTTTTGTTGGCATTTTAGAAACCGGAGTACAACTTTCTTTGCAGGGGGTAAATCTTATGTTAGCCCTCCCCCCTCCGACCCACCCACTGCCTCACACACCCTCATAATGGTCACATGGTTTGCCATTGACGTAACTTCCGGAACGATTTGGATTTTGTAATAATTTGATTTTTTACAAAATCAATTGAAATCAATAATAACTCGTTTAAGGTCTTCATACAGCGATAGCATATGCTGTCTTGTCAGATGGATGAATCATTTTGCCAGAAAGATAAGTTGAACTGTAACATTTCAGACACCTCATTCTCCCTTCCAAGCCTTAGCCAGATACTATTTTCTGTGTACTGGGATCTAAACTTCGTTTGCCCCTCCCCCCCCACAAAAAACCCCAAATTGTGAAAAGTCACTGCCAACCTGGTTTAGCTGTGGCTGAACTTTTAAGTCTTGGTTTTAATATTTTAAAGGTGTCGCATTTCCTCAGGAACCCAACACGTTCTGACCCGTTATGTACAGAAATAGGTCAAAAGACCTATAAAAAATGGTAAAAAATAGAACCTTTAGGTCACGAAATCAAACAACTTCATTGTTAGTGTTTGAAGATGTACTTTTGAAGATGTTTTAAGTACAGGTCACTTGGAACTTATATCGTTTGCATTTAGAACGGTAAACGTGGTACCATAATTTTGTGTGAAGCTTTCCAGTGACCTATAGCAATGGTAGCTATTTTGAGTGGATTTTATAACAACCGTATTTTCAGCGTGCAATGATTCAAATCAGTTTCTACTTTACAGGCATTAATGTAGACTTACAACATATTATGTCGAAAAGTAGCTACATACTACAGCATGAAATAACTCTATAGAATTTTAAATGTTAGTCCAATTAAGTTGAGAGTTCTTTATCCTGTTTTTCTAATTTCCTGTCCAACCAATATTCGTGAAACTGATTAAGATATAACATTGTCACAGCCTTTCACCTTTCTCAAGAATTTTTTTCAGTGATGATTTTCCGTTTAATTTAATATAGCCAACCGCAGATGATCATGAATACTAGCAATCATTCAGAATCTCCTGGAGTTTACTGTCAATATTTGAATATGACGTGACGAAAGATGATGGCTATGATTGTTGCCAGGGCGATGAATAGAGAAGAGCTTGGCTGTGATGCGGCGTTGTAGGCGTAAACCTTGGCCCTGATGACGAGCGCCTCACCTACAGCAGCGGAGATTTTGTTCATCCCCTGGGGTTCCCCGTTCCGATCCATCTTGCTGCTGGCTGCAATGACCCCGGTATCATCTTCAACTTGAATCATCATCCCCCTCAAGGCAGCGGAGTAATCTTCGGTAGAATCGGAGGTGCCAGCGTTGATAATGACCAGGAAGGAGTCCCGGCCCGCTGTATCAGGTGTGCGCAAGAAGGAAAAGATCTTCTCGTTCACGATGACGTAGTCGAGGTGGTTGGTTTGGAAGGCCGGTTCTTCTTTACGAAGTGTCGCCAATCGCGCATAAAGCTTCAAGGCGGAAGTATCATCTGCCTTTTGGTCAGCAACGTTGACTCCTGAAAGGTAGTTGTCGTTAACGGGGAGCCACGTTTTTCCAGCAGTAGTGCTGAAACCAGCATGCGGTGGCGACCAGTCCCACTGCATCGGGGAACGCTCTGGGTCGCGCGTATAGTTTTGCCAGTGGCTAGGGTTGTTGATTGCGTACGGGTCCTGAGTTTCATTGTAAGGTACCCAGATGTCCTCCATTACTATCTCTTCACCGTAATAGGTGGTCGGTGTACCCGGCAAAAGCAAATTGAGTACGTTAAGGGCTCGAGCATAATTTACCCCAATGCGATCGGCGATGCGGAAGTTGTCATGGTTACCGATGACCCAATTTGGCCACTTTCCAGTCGGCAGGTCCTTCATCCAGTCGTTGACAAAGTCATATATTTTATTGCCAGACAAGTTCTCCTTGGTGAGCTCAATCATGCCGAAGTTGAAGGGGAAATCTGCCTCGGGTTGATCCGGGGTTCCATAGTAGGGGAGAAGCCCCTTGTGCGTGTCATAGGTCTCGGTCACCATGAACCGATACTGGGGGTAACCTGCATCGTTTCCAAACTCGTTGAAGATTTGTCTCCAATTCTTGATGACATCATGGAGCTCAGGGAGGTCCACTGTCTTGGTGTGCAGCAGGCTGTCGTACTGAGCCTGCTCACCAGGTACTGGCGTGTAATCAGGATTCGGTGGCTCGTCTTGAAGGTCCTCGTTTTCGTACATGTGCCTGATGGCGTCTACCCGCATACCATCCACGCCTTTCTCGAGCCAGAAGCGGACCACATCATCCATCGCTGCTCGCACCTGCGGGTTACGGTAGTTCAAATCTGGCTGTTCCTTGAGGAACTGATGCAGATAAAATTGCTGCCTCTCTGGTACCCACTCCCACATGGAGCCACCGAACAAACTCACCCAGTTATTTGGAACGCACTCCTCTACAGGTGAGCAGCCCTGCTTGGGGTCTTCCCACATGTAGTAATCTTTGTACGGGTTGCTGGTGTCTTTGTTTTTCTTGCTTTCGAGGAACCACGCATGCTGATCGCTGGAATGGTTGGGGACAAAATCCATCATGAGTTTAAGCCCGAGCCGGTGCGCCTTGGTGATCAGCTCGTCAAAGTCGGCCATAGTTCCGAATATGGGATCGATATCCTTGAAGTCGGCCACATCGTAGCCGAAGTCGGCCATGGGCGACTTGTATACTGGGCTCAACCACACGGTTCCCACCCCAAGGTCGTTGAAATGCTCCAGCCGGGACGTGATCCCGTCCAGGTCCCCCACACCGTCGCCGTCAGAGTCCATGAAGGAACGCGGGTAGATTTGGTAGATGATCGTGTTCTTCCACCATTCGTCAGGACCAAATCCAGCGGCAAAAGATGGGGTTAACACACATAGGAAAATCGCCACACATGTGGCAAACGTAACTCGCGCCATTTTTCGTGGTAGGTTTATTGTGCAGGAGGCAAAGCTTCAAGCTCGCACGTATGCGTGCTCTTGCGCCGTGTGGTTGAATGAGATGAATCAGTCTGATTAAATTCAAAAGTCAAAGGCGACTTTAGAGCTGTTTCCAGCAAAAGCCGAAGTACTTCGATAAGCACTAGCCAATATTAAATATAGATCACTGCAAATTTTGTTTTGTCCTTTGTAACATGTTAACTCCCGTGTTTGCGGGTTAAAGTCTTAAGTATTATAGCGTTGACAAAGGGAGAATGACGCTGCTTGACCGACACTAAATATAGAAAAATGAACTATTATGGTCCTAATCACTGAACTTGCGACTTTGCATCAAGGCTATGATAAAAGGGTAACCTTTAGCCAAGACAAAAAGACACTCCCTTCTCCGTTTCTCTACATTTTTTGAAAAAAGCTAAACCCCCAATTCATGAACATCTTCACGTTTGACCAAGACATACCAGTCCGCTGTGAATGTGTAAGAACTTCATACTTCACGAAGGATTATTCATTTCATGATCACTTTATGATTTTCTTTGTAGCAACTGATACATATAGTGCTACTTAATTATGTATTATTGAATGCAATGTGTGATTCGCGAGAAAATAGGCAGAACCTTGCTTTCAAATGCAAATGTTCAATTGCTCGACCTTACGTTCCATGTGTATGATATAGGCACATTCACCCTTAGCCTTTGGAGTCAACTGGGAAAAAGATAAAACGCGAGAACGGGGTATATATCATACGCCTCGCCTATACGCCAATAAGGATAATGAAGATAAAATGTGCACAAACACAGACAAGAGAATTACATTCACCTAAAGGAACGACATGTAAAAACTAATTTGTCCAAAACACAAATAAACATCAAGACCGGATGCGATGGTTCACAAAAGAGAATCCTGTCCATTGAAGCTGTTATTGTAAGTGTTACATCATCTGCGGAGGATTTAGCCGATGAAGTCACCTCTATCAACGTTTGCAAAAGCATCCCATATTATTATTGTTATTGTTTTTATTATTATTACTTATATTTATCCAGGGTAGCTTATTCACCAAAAGTGGTCTTCCATACGGCCCTGTCACCAACTCGAAAGGAAATAGTAAAAAAAATACACTTACGACATCAGAAAACATTAAAGCAGTAGGCTTTAGTCTGTTCTTATTTGGGCCGCGAACAATGAAACAAGCCCAGAATGAAAGTAACAGCCCCCCCTACACATAATAAAACTAGGTTCACCAATGTACCTGAATGTCATTGCCGATATGCGCCATATAGCTTCCACACAAACATTTCTGTTCTTTTCTGGATCACCCAATCACCCGTCCATCCAGACTGTGCTGAAGAGAGGGTGTCTGTAAAGCATTGGATGATCCTTAATTAAATTTCGCGCTTTGTGATGGCCAACGCGTTGCAAACTCTTGGAGGCGCACTATTGTGAATCGCCCGTATTAGGGCAAACCCAGGAAATCTGCAGTTAAGAGTGCGTGATTTAGAAGTCGAAAAACAGAGGACCCGGTACTCATAAAGAAAACAGAAATGGCGGCCTGATTTTTTGCAAGCTACAGAGAAATTCTAATATTTATTGGAAATGTCAACAGAGCTCAGTTGGAATTTGGTCAAAATTACAAATTGTGAAGTGTGTCTCACATCATTTTGAAATAATTTCATTAATTTCTACCATAATACTAAAGTTATTGCTTTTTCACGTAAAGCTTTCAGATTTAATTTCGTATCCTGTGCATAAAAACGCAAAAGAATTGAGTATTCGGGAAGACGGTCTTCAAACTGTTAGCCAATGCAAAAGGGATGTGAAGCTTGATATGATTTTATTCCGATTAACTTTATCACCTCGTACAGAATAGCTTCTCAGGTTTAGAAAGCAAACTCATGTCATAAACACTAAGTAGACCCTATGCCTCAAATACATTGATTGCTTGAAGTTGTTCACAGCTTTGGTGAAAGGAAGACTCGCTCACAAAAAAGACTCGTTGAGTATCCAACAGACGCATACTTATCAGAAGAACTAATGTGTATTGGGCCCAAGAAAACGAATAGATCGATTTGGGACTAGAAGGTGACACGGATGCCATCGGTGTATTTTTTTTTCATTACATGTATAGTAAGCATAATATGACACTGAGGCAAACGATCGATTGCAACAAGAGTGTCAGTATCAAATTGCTCAGGAGGCAATTATAAATGATATTGATGGTGTGAATGCATGTAGTTCTGATTACGTCAACTTTTGGCTAAACTTGGCTAAACTTAAAGAATCTTGTCACTCTGGTAAAGGATTATGTTGATCTATAAGCGTGTTATAAAGCGATGTTTCGTTTCATTAATTGGCAGGTCTGAAATACTGGTACCACCAGTTTTGGTCCTGCACCTCGACAATTTCATCCAATAAGACCAAAATCCCCTCCCCAACCCTCAGGGCAATCTTGTTCAGCTGGACCCGCTCCCCGACCCGAGACATGTCGGTGCCCACCACGACAGTTCCCTCCACAGGAAGCGCCCCGTTGGCACGGTCGAAGAAGTCGTTCTCGAAGGTGGTGTCCTGGCCGAAGTTGATGGCCACAAAGAAACGCTCCCTTTCGCCTTCCAGCTCCCGGATATAGGACACCACGTTCAGGGTGTTGTGCACGAACTTGGCCGTGGGCCCTTGTCGCAGCGTTCTCTTCTCGGCTCGAAGCTTCGTCAGGGCTTTGAACATGCGAAGGACGGAGTTAGGGTCTTCGTCCATTACCTGAGATTAACGTCAGTTCAAAGAACTATAGAGTAATCGAATATAAATTGGACAGATCGGTACCTACTTTCTTTTGAAGCAATGAACACAGAGACCTTGTCAATGAAATCATCCTTGTCATCTCTCTCAAGGAATATGCTCAACCATTACGTTACAGTTTTTTCTTTTCTTTTCGGTTGCCAGTTTCTGTCTACAATAAAACGCCACCCAAATTTTTTCAAAGATTTGACAGCAAAAAAATTTCACATAATATCCATGCTCTGATTAGGCTACTCGTCTCAATATGTAGCGTCAGTCTTTGTAAAAAATAGTGGCAATTTGGACTTTCTTTCTAAGACCCAAAAATTTGGGCCCGCCCCCCCCCCAAAAAATGCAAAAAACATGGTTGGGGGAAATCCGCAACGTGCTGTACATATATGAAGCAATTGGCGTTTTTCTTATTTTCACTACCTATAGGATTCCAGTCGGCACTCTTAATATAGCATCAAACATGTATGGACTAAATGCGAGAAGGGCCTATTCAGAGATTACAGTAGGGCCCACTAGCTAGAAAATAAACGCGACAATGTTTTCGTACGATTAAGGGTTAACACTTACAGCGACGTTAACTTTTGTGAACTCTTCTTCTGGCGGCACCGGTAGCCAGGAGCCGTTAACGGACGAGGTGAACCCGGCATATGGGTCTGCCGTCCACTGCATCGGGGTTCGCTGGCGGTCTCGTGTCTTGATTTCCCATCTTGGCTGAATACGCAGAAATAAACCAAAGTCGTCAACTTATCACCTACTTCCACAAAAACCGTTTTATTATGTTTATCCCCGGTATCTTTATTATGTGTAGGACAGTTTCCTACTTATCTATAGGAAATTTTTTTTTCTGTTGAGAATGTCAAACAATAATCTAATTCTTACTCTTTTAGGCAAGTGTTGGACTTGTGGTTATAGCTTGAGGCTAATCAATCTGACCTCACAAACATTTGTTACGTTTACAATATCTGATAATGAATAGTTTGGTTCCTGTAGCCGTTTTTTGCAATTTCTTTCACGTACGTAAATAGTGTTGATTTCTATTTAAGTGCGGGAAGACATGCTCAACATTCCATAATATGCATTTGCTCGGAATTGTTAATGTTCTTTTTAAAAGTTTTCGACCGCAATCTATAAGTTTTGTGGAAACAAAAATCGAACTGAAGACCAATGGTATACAAACTGTCAAATATTCGACTACACATCGATTTTACTTTGCGTTTCCAACATATAAAATCCGAGCGTTTATCGGTATTTACCATGTCATTCAAAGCCTTAATGTCCATAAGCTCATCCTCAGTTATCAGTACGTCGGTCATGCCAATCTCGTCTCCATAGTAACAGATGGGTGTCCCTGGCAACGTCAGAAGTAACATATTAGCGGCGCCAGCGTGCTCCTTTGTCAGACGGCTGGCAATGCGATGCACCCCGTGATGACCAAGCTGAAAGAATTAAAGTATTTGCCTCAATTTTTTAATCAAAAATAAATGATGTAAATAAAACTCTTGGATGAATGACACAGGCCTGACGTGGTTTACTCTAAGAAAAAAATAGATCAGATTTTACGGCACACGCATGATGTATGTGACGCGTATTCGTTGTTATAAGGGGTATGTGCTGTTACTTATGTTTCATCCATCCTAATTATCTATGCACTAATTTCTTTTCAAGACGCTGATCACCATATTTTACATCTCAAATACAAAAGAATAAAAACAATGTTTGCATTCATGAGAAATGGGGAGGGGTTACCATAAAGGACGGCCATTTTCCTTTGGGTAGATTGTCCATCCACTCCTGAACCATCTCATAAACCTCGAGTCCTGTGGTGTAACCCGTCCCTATCGTAGTGCCTGACCAACCACCATTGACGTCACCGAGGTTCACGAGGTTGAGGTTCATAGGTAGATCGACCTCCGGGTCCTCTTCCGTCCCGTAGTAGGTCCTTGCGTAGCTTGAGTTGGAGTCTGAGTCGGTTATCATTACTCTGTCAGGTTGGAAGGGGCACAGGGGTGTCAGTGCGTGCTATTTGTAAAGCATCCAGAATGCCCTAAAGCACAACATAACTCTGAGAACATGAACTACGGATGGTAAAAAAGCCTTGTGGTCTTTTTCTTGGTATTAAAGGCAAACCTTCTCGTTGTTTGTTTCTTAGCAAATTCGGCCAAATTATTCCCAAAATGTAAGTCATTCCTCTGGTTTATACTCGTCTGTGGCGAAAAACGTGGCATTAAATTGGCCACCTTTGACAACGATCTTAGAAACAAAGTCATTGTCTTAATCCCGTTGTATGTGGACGTATAGAGTGTTAAATCTAACACTGCAGATTATTCTGTTCAAGTTAAATTTGTGAAAATTCAGTCGAATGCATTGGTCGAGAATGGATAAAATCCCATTCCACAAGCGGATGTGTTAACTGCGAGGTCTACAAAAAGGTATCCACAGATAATTCAACAATCATCTCAGTCTGTGGTACCTGTAAGTGCCCGCAGTTGAGAACTGATCAAAGATTCCCTTGCGCCACTTCTTCAACAACACGTGTTGAAGTCCATCGAACTCTGATGACTTGTCATGTAGTAGACTCTCGTACTGCACCTGTAAAAACAAAGAAAGAAAGAAAGAAAGAAAGAAAGAAAGAAAGAAAGAAAGAAAGAAAGAAAGAAAGAAAGAAAGAAAGAAAGAAAGAAAGAAAGAAAGAAAGAAAGAAAGAAAGAAAGAAAGAAAGAAAGAAAGAAAGAAAGAAAGAAAGAAAGAAAGAAACACAAAAATAGACACCATTATTGTTTTTGTTCAGTTTCGGAGATGAAAATGTTGAACACATGATTACATCAAAGATATATTAATCATCGCAAAAATCTCCCCGATTTGACTTTGACCGACTGCGTGTGACTGGTTGCATATTGTCTTCAACACTTTAGCTATACTGCCGTCGACTGCCGTGAAGACATACCCAGACCTACTCTGGAGTTTGGCTGTCAATAACCGTGACGTTCACGTGTTAGGGAGTAGTCTTGGTCTCAAGCCTATCCATGCAATAACGTCTTGCTTTATAATAACTTACAGGGTCACCGAGTCCATCGTTGACGTAACCCGGTGCAGGAGTATCATCCGTGTAGGCGTCAGTTTCAAACATGTACTTTACTCCTTGTATGCTGAAACCATCCACTCCTTTAATGAACCATTGCTCCAACACCGTCTGAACGATTCAAGAGAACAATCGAGAGCAACAATTGTCAACATTCTTAAGTTATAAGGGAGTGAAACGCAAAATCAGCACTTGGCGTGTTTTCTGATTTATTCAAGATAGGTGTATGACTGCTCGCCACCACCAGAGATGGCGCACATTTACACGTAGCGAAAGTACACCGAAAACTTCACCTGAATTACAACACAGACTCTGCTTCATTGCTACAGAAAGCGGTACATCACAAGTTATAATGACAGTAAGGAATCCACTGAGGAAATATTTCCATGACAAAAAGTATCCGGGAAATCCTGTTTTTCACCTCCTAGCCCAAATTCAGGTATTTTCCCTTCCAAGCAAGGGCTTGAGTTCATTCTTTTTCAAGACGTTGCTATGCAGAGATGAAATGAGCAAAATCATAATAATTATGTTAAGCAACTGGGACAGCCAATCTAAACCAATATACATTGCACCACATTTCAGTTTGGGTGACTTATTCCAGCTAAATATCCCTTTCATTCTTGCCCAGATTTACCCACCTCCAAGTAGTTGGTGACAGCTTCTTTCCGGAGGTTGAGATCCGGTTGATACTCGGAGAATTGATGAAGGTAGTGTTGTGCCCGCTCGCTCTTAAGCCTCCAAGCGCTGCCGCTGTACACGCTCACCTGTTGGCGAAGGTTTTGTCGAGAGTGCAATTACTTTTCTTTAAAGGTCAGAAAGATAAGACGTGTCTTGACAAACGTCCGATCTTCTTCTTGAATAGGATAAAATGTCGGAGTGGTATTTAATCAGACCGTCTGCACGATTGACATATCTGGGAATACAACGGATGGACTGTCCTAGCTTTTTGCCAGCGACGAAAATGGATGAAACTCTAGGGCAAAATGACCCACGTAAAAATCATATGAAAATCATTCTGTTTGCATGACATAGGCCTACATGATTGAATAATAACGTGTAAGAAGTTCTCTCAACAAAACTAAGACAAGACTACTGTACACTCTTGTTGAAACTTTAACCTAAACGTAACTTACCCAATTATTGGAGTTGTCAGCCCAAGTGTACCAGTTAAGGTAAGTCTCGTCTCTTGCTGAACTCTTCTGAAAGAACTCGTGCTCAACACTGGAGTGATTGGGGATGAAGTCCAATATCACCTTGATATCTATAACAAGTCACCATAAAAAAGTAGGAAGCATTCAAGAAAGTGATCTAACTCGGTTTCAGTCGCTAGCACTATGCAAATAAATCAGTGATTGCAAAAGCAGCGATGACAACTGATACCTGCGTCGGCGACACGAATTAACGCTCCGGGAGCAGTAAAGCAGTAACGATTGAGTACTTCAGCACGTTTCTATATGCCTTCTTTTCATGCAGATCAGCCATTTGTAGAACATTTCTGGGAGTGTAAAACCGATAGCAGACAAATTAAACTAACTTTTGTCGTGTAGAGCGGTTATCAGCGCGTCAAAATCCTCCTGCGAGCCAAAGATGGGATCCACTTTCTCGAAGTCAGAGACATCATAACCAAGGTCCCTCTGAGGCGACTGGTAAATGGAGTGAAGCAAAACAGCGCCAACACCGATGTCACTGAGGTAGTCCACTTTTTCGATGATACCTGCAGGAGAAATCCGACAGGTCTTTGCAGTGAACAGTGAAATTGGTTGGAGAGAAAATAAGAACTTTAATCTCCTGGCGAGCCGACTACGAATGGATAGATGATTATTTTTAGCTCACCGTGAAGAAATGTGCAGCTACGTAAGTAATTCAGTTTCGAAGCCAGCCTCACGAATGGGAGAGGAGAATCCGTCATTACATTAACAACGGGCCCAATCAAAAACATCGGCGCAATTATAATATCAGGTGTAGGCCCTAGTTGTGTTAAATTAAGCAAAACCATAGCAATGGCGATAACAACAAAGGAAAATGTAAAGAAACTAGCAAACAAGACAAAACACTTTTTGCGAAGCAGAGCTTCAAGGGGGGGGGTCGCTCAAATCTATGGACATTCCCATCCTCAGGGATTTCATTTTAATAATCGAGGGTCTCAAAAAGAATATCATAGACATGTAGAGTTTCACTTTCATCTTTGGTGCCAAAGTATTCGATGTGTTAAACGTGGATTTTTAACGATCTTTTCATTCGTGTCCACCTGCCTCCCTGCAGCTAAAGTGGTAAGCTCGGCATGACGTCGGTACCTCTCACAGCTGTTAGCGGTGACATTCACAGACGAGCTGCCAGGAGCTTTCATATGTCGAGGAATTCGAATTCAAGGGATCATCTCGCAAATTTTAATCCCAAACATGATATTACCGAGTCAATCACCCACCTTTGGGAAATGTACTTTTTAAAACATTCCTCGAATCAGTTTTAGTTACTAGAGGTTGAAAAGTGGTAAACAGTAGGAGAATGGTTGGGGATAAAATCTGATTGCACCTATACAGAGTGATGGGTCACATTTCACTAGCTATTAACAAAGACTGTTTTGTAGTCATGTTATTTAATACCTGTAGAGGAAATGAATACACGTGTTATGGGCATGGTGGACTCACAAGCTATTGAGGGAGACAGTTCACAATGCAATATAATACAGCATCATGACCCTCAATAACAAACCGATGGTCAATGCTATTTTGTACTGTCGTATTGAACAACTGGATTGGAGGCTGTTTTCAATTTACATTTTGCTCAAAAGAGGCAATTATCTTTGTTCTGAAATCCTTGTTCTGGTCACCACCAACGGCGCTGCATTATGGTCTCAACATGAGTCTTTTCAACAGGGCGGTTTGTAGAAAGCACGAGAACAAGCAAACACTTTTGTCCCATGGAGGTTTCCGACAGAAACACGTTTAGATGGTGGATGAAAAAAGGAAATATGAAATGGCATGACGTGCAAAAGGGGTGTTATGTTTTCGAGGCGGTCTGATCATAGCAGGTACTCGCTATGAATGCAGGTGGTTAAAAAACTGAACAAAATGCAAATTTTCGAAAAAGAGGTCTGCATCGCGACCTGTCCAAAGCCTTATTTAAAAGAAATAGTTGTAGCTATACGTGTACAAGGGCAAGGTAATGTAATCCGCATTTACATACAAGTATGCTACATTATAGAGTTAGAATCAAAGGACACTTTTCGATTTTTGACACTTGTCCCCTCGCAACCCCTACCCAAAGAAACTATGTGCAGGCATAGACACCTTGATCTGTGACCCGATACTATACTCACCCTTGAGATCTCCTATTCCATCACCGTCAGAATCCTTGAAGGATCGGGGGTAGATCTGGTAAATCACGCTGGTCTGCCACCAGGGCAAGCAGCGGGGAGTGACCACGATGATGTAGATGGACATGCCGAGCATGGCGCACCATCCAGCCAGGAGGATTAGCAACAGGACCCACCGGGCTGCTCGCCAGGAGAAACCTCGGGAGTAACGCAGCAGTTCCTCCTTGCCCATTCCTGTCGGTAACGACAGAGAAATGTTGTTACCACAGAAACACGGTACTTGTCTCTGCCTTGTTTTCGGTACATCTCCCTGAACCTCAAGGTATCCATGATGGTTTACAGGAGGTCATGATATCTGTGATCTTTGGTCATGTAAAGCCGCTCTTTTGATCTGTATTCTGTTCTGCAAGGTATCTCAGGGTTATACCAGAAGTTCTTGAACGTTTGGCCAAAATGGCTTCGAGAGAAAAGCGCACACCCGTTTTCTCTTTCATTGGTCAAAATTACTCAAACTGTAGGCTTTCCTTGCCAACTTCAGAAAAAAATCCACTCATTTTCGTCTACACGTATTCACATTCGCACAGATGCTACAGTTCAGTTTGTTGGGGGTTTCTTTTTCCCTGTTCTGACATTCAAATTTCTTTTCATGAATGCCTACACAATTTTTTTAGCTTTGTCGTTAAGTTTTGTTTTTATCATTCCACTTCGTTTATGGGCATTCGAGACTATAACTATTCGTCACTGTAATCTTTGTTGCCCTTTTCCAACAGCAGTCAAATTAAAAATCATCTACGCGTAAAGAATCTTTCACCTACGCATGATTTCCTTTTTCGTTTACAATGAATCTATTTTGCATTCTGAGTGTTAAATTTAGGGGTATTGGAGAAGTTAATATCGTCGGTCTTTCACTGCAAGTCGTTCTGTGTGATATTCTAGTTCCATGAGCATTGTTTTGATGACTGCAAATGATTTCTTTATATCATTTGTTATTTTTTGTATCGACGCCTATTTCTTGAGTCCAATCAGAAAGTTTTGGTTTTGTTCTTTGTTGTGAGTACTGATGCTGTTCATGTTGTATTTCATATCTGCATATTCGGCCCATTTCAAAACATGTGGACATTAAATGTTAACAAAAGTTCAGGGAAACAAATTTAGGGTTACAGTTAAAACACGAAAACAAAAAAAAGTATGAAACAAACCTTCCCTACGTTATTGCCTAGAAAGTGTAAATCGCTTTTCCTACCCACGATGCTCACCCTTTCTGTAAGAACCCGGCCGCCGCAATTTTTTGTACACTTGACAAAATGCCGTCTGAAGATCTGCTGTTAAACTTTTTTCTCGGAGCATCAGATTTTACATAGGATCTAGGAAGCGCTCAACACTGGAACAAATTGGAATTCCCACAAGTGAGACCTGGTGACAATCTCAAATGCCTCATCAACCTCTTTCCAAGCGCCTGATCAACCTCTTTCTAAGCCCTTTGACGACTGTGAATGGACAGAACGACTTTTGGAATCTGAATGAACGTATTTCCCGAAAGAATGCTCAATAACGAATTCGAATGCCTCCTTTTTTAAAACTTATTTTCGAATTCAAACGTAATGGATAAGGCACGGACTTACATCACAGGTGTACTGTGACACCGCGCCATGCATAGGAGCTGGAGGATCTTCAACGTTAGTGTGACTTAATCTGGGGTTTATTTTAATATTTTAAAATTCAATTTATCACAAAAGTGAATTGTCTGAGGGACAAATTAAGCTTCATTTTATTTGCTGTTGTTTTTGTTGCTCTAGGCGCTACAACATAAATTTAATGAAATGGATGTAAAAGGGGAACAATTGGAAGCAACGATAAACAACTTGTGAGCTCTTTCTCTGGACTTGGAACTCTTACGCTCTCTTCAGAAGTTACAACTGCACGCCCATCGTTATAAACCATGGCAAAAATATACACTGAAACCGCTGACAATGATAACGTTTCACAAAATAGCGTAGTGGTACAAGCTTGCACCGACCATGGAGGAACAAAAGTGGTTTATTCCTTCATACACGCACGAAGGCCCGTCGCACCGATGCACTTGTGGCATTTTCTCCCTTGCAGTTAGGGTGGAGCCCCCAAACGCCTTATCTTTAAACAAATAAAAAGATTAAAAGGTCAAATTTTGATCGGGACAAAGCAATAGTCTGCTCAGCTGCTTTTTATCTTGGATCCAACCTATACAATCGGATTTAGTTCAACAGTGTTCTTCTATGGCAGTAGACATGGCAGCCTGCGTTTTGGCATGCATACACCTGTCTGCGCTGAGGCATACGGATTACTTGTGTTAGGCCTATCTGTAAAACTCTTCTTTGGCGCTAGCACTTTCGTTTACATTTCTTGTTCTGCGCATTTTGGGGTCAATTCAAGATTCACAGCTCAATTAACGCTGTCCGTTTTCAGCTTGTTATATTAATATGAACAAAAATATGGCTTAATGTTGAGTAAAAGGATGCAAAGAGAGATACAGTAACAGTCTTTATAACATTAATTGTTGATATTCTAAGAAACATTAAAATGAAAAGACCTCGTATGTCACTTTGTCAAACTTATTGTTCGCATAAACGCCTTTTACCTATGAAACTCAGGACAGTTTCCTCACACCACGAAAGATAAGGTTCATCTCGCTAATTCTTTTAGTGTAGCTGTCGTTTTATCGTTTTAATGAAGATGTTCTCCTCAGAACGGCCTGCTTCCTTACCTGTCCACGGTGGCACCGTGTGCTCCTGGGGAAGATACTCAACCTCTATCATGATTGGATCTTGAAGATGCAAGCGCTGTGTCTCTCTGAATCAAGTCACATCCAACAGTGGGACGGCCAAAAGAACAAGTGCTGCAGACTGCGTGCTTGTTCGTGCTCTCTTCTTCGCTACTGAATGTTTTTCTTTCTCTCTTTCCATACTTCTTACCCCTGCCTGCTCCTTCTTTACTTCGCCTCTGGGTCAGAATACTAATCACAGCAGCAATCGATTTCGAGACGAGTGGCTTCTCTCTCGTGCGGATCATGCTTCATTCTGGCATGTACTAAGCATCCGCCAGAAACATCTCCTGCGTGGGTGAATGGAGGACCGCGGCAGTCTGAAGGATGGGATGCAGAACTGATGGGAAGCGGACCATCGCATATCTGCGGCATGCCTACCGGTGGTTCACCCACGTCTTTTCAGCGCGAGGAGCCATGGGAATCGATACTACATCGCTCAGTGACCGAATAATTATTCGGCAGTGACGACAACGACCGAAATACATAGATTTGTGTATTGATTGGATGGGGGTAAAGGCCTCATACAGGCATATTCATTTATATAGACGAGACTCGTGAATGAGAGGTTGTGGGCAGAAATTACATTCTTGTTTATCCGAAGGTATAAAGCCATTTTCAGAGCTTCACAAAAATGACGACAGTGGGAATCTGACACTTCTCCACACTTTGCTGTTCATTGACCTGAAGTATCTAAGTTGGCCTATACATGTATCTGCCTAAATTTGTCATGTGCCCTGCACGTGTATTTTAGCCATGACGCACTGCAGACTTTTTAAACACTTTCAAAGGACAGTTTCCTTATATTAAAGTAGAACTGTAGGACGCGTTTTACTATAACTTAGTTCATGAAACATTGAAGTTATAATGCTAATTAGACAGCGATATTCCTTTGAATCTTCAGGCTGCTTTTTCACATGACGTTTGGTTGTCACAGTCTAGATGCCATCTCTTTGTTAGGTGCGTATATCTGCACCCCCCCAACGTTAGTATTTGCAGATGGTGAATGGGTTTTTTTTTTTCAACTCGTTGCCACCATGAGAGTTTTCAGATGTTGTTTAGGCCCTACTGCCTGGTATAATTCGGGTCCACATCAATGTTCGCGGGCTCCCCAATATTTGGACACAAAATGACAAGTTTAATCAAATTACACACGGTCCTGAAAACAATGCTTGAACCAAATTGAATTAACCCTTTGAATAATATATTTCACTTCATGTACATACATTTTCAAAATATGCGCTGTTCTCGGCAACCCTGCTTTAGGACGCCACTATAACTTAAGATTTGACTACATACTGTCAAAAACTTTGGTCGGTGATTTAATAAGGCTTCCTGATTTGATGCTTCATTAAAAAAGGCGAGGCCAAGGTCAGGAACGTTTAAGTTTGATTTGGTTTTTTATTCGCTTATAATGTACAGGTTTGCTTAACCTTCAGTAATATTCAAAAGGGTTTTAAAGTAGCGGTAGTAGTGCTGAAATACAGGGAAACTAAACAATTCAAGCAGTGTTAAAATCCGAAGCTTTTCGATCTGAAAGGTTGAATGCGATGTGAGCTGACCATCACCGGGGTTTGTGAAGCTTTCACAATGACCATCGTTACAGCAGTTTCCGACGGAGTTTGCTTTAAGCTCGGCAAAACTTAAAGACACGTAAGCAAAACACAACGCAACGCAACAAACACTAGAACAGCTTTAAACCAAAGGCAAAGCACCGCATATCGATTCTGTTTTTTTTTAAGTTTCCTTGCCGATGTAGCCTGTTCACCGGAGAAACGAATCTGTCTGACTAGCCATCGGGGACTGGCTCATGCAAATGTCAATCGTCGCCATGATGCCGCTGGGTATGTGAATACCGACCAATGAAAACAAGATGACGCTGCGATTTTCATGTCTTGCAACTCAAAGATCCCTTTTTTTCACCCTCTTGCTTGGATCACGGAGGAAGGAGACCTCCACGCTTGGATCGATAGTTGCAGGCTTTCGCGTTGTAGATTCCTTCGCCTTAATATACAAAGACTTCCCATTTCGCCTCAGCGACATTTTGCCGTAACCGTCCATACTGTCAAGACCTCCGAGGAACTGCATCGGAAAGCTGACGAAATGCTCACGAGGCTATTCACTCCTATCAAAGCACGCGCCAACATGCTTCCGAACACTGGCATCCACACATATAAATGTATATAACTTGCAGTTGTAATAATGCAGTGCTTAGCAGTTAAATTTAAAACTAACTTCGCTGACGGGAGAAAACAGATCACAGTTGCCACATCAAAATCTGGTGTCGCACTGGTGAACACGGGATAATGAGTGGCCACTTGGACTTAAAGTAGTTATCGAATGTACCTGTAGCAAGGGAGATTTACTTGGGCCTTGAATTATAACCAGGATTATCCTGACACTGGGCTAAAATGACAAATTTATTTTTTAAAAATTCCAAATTAAAGATTCACACCAGAGTTGGAAAAAATCGTTCCTTTCAAAATGTTTAGGTCACAAATGCATATTTTCCTGTATATTATATATGATTCTGTAACCTTTTTGGTGAGGAAATTGAGGAATGATCCTATATTTTCTTCAGTTTTACTTTTTCCATTTTACCTGCATAAGGGCCATCATGTATCAGTTCCTCTCGGTCCTCGGTCTTCTTAACTGGCACAATAGAATCACTATCCGAGTCCTGTATCGATTTTTTCTCTATGTTGACGTCCTCGTAATCGTGGCTATTGTGCGGCAAATCCATGGACTTGTCCGCCTCCTGCAACTCAATGTCATCCTCAAATCCCTTGTTGACCGACATGTTTGCTTGGGATGAAACTTTTGGTCCCCCAAAATGTTCCTGGTTTTGAACTGACTTGGTGTTTCTGGTAGAACTGTTCCAACCGGTATGATCGTCAAGGGGCGTGCGTGCAAGTGGACTTCGGACTCCGATTGGGTAGGCAGCGTTCTATTAAGCACACACAACAGCGGTTGCTATTGTTAATTCGGTTGCTGATGCAAGATCACGATTATCAAGTACTGAGTTGAATATTAACCCAGCCAGAGAGGGCCCATGCATGTTATTTACAGTTCAGTTTTTGCGCTCTACTTACGCACACAAACCATTGTTCGCCATCCGCCACAAAGAGTACTCGCCGTGTATGCGTATGCGAGCACAAACAGCGAACAATCAGTGACATATCCTTGACAGTATGTTCTGTTCTCACCAACACAAGAAAAGCTTTATAATGTTTGTACTCGACCATCAAAGCAGTGCAATCTTGAATTTATTAAATGTAATAGGGACGAGTGCCACTCACGAAAAGGACGTGATATAATGAAATAACTGGGTGAAATAGTTGCAAGCGGCAGGGTATCTTGTGGTGTATCTCGGTCAACCAGCAGGGGATGAAATGAGGGATCTCTGCCAACTCGACATAATACTTTCATGGACGTTGCAGGCGGGCATGTAGGCCAGGAGTTTGGCATGCTTACATTTTTCTACTTAAGGCATGCGACGGAAACAGCGTGAGCCGGGGAAGTCATTTCACCCAAATATCGTCATGAGATCCCACATCGTTGCTGGCATTCAATTTTCTTCGATTTAAACAGATGTCTGCCAGCCCTAATTCGACCAAGAATATCCTTCGGTCCTGAATCAAACCTCTTTACCTTAGAATACATGCAGATCAGTAATAGTGGATGATTGCCTAATATGTTGCCCTATAAGTCTGTTCCTGTAGACCTGCAGCAGTCGGTCCGAAGGTGCCTTCAAGGAAAGTGCTATTGTGCAGAATTTAGTAAATTTACCTCAGCTATTTTTTCTGTGAAGTTGTCCCAACTGTCTATTCTGTTACACAGAACGAAAACATGCAGCCAGATCCACATCGTAATTGTTAAGGGATTTTTTGTTGACCTGTGCCTGAACACGTACATCCTGACACAATCAGAAAGACTATAATAGCGTTATCGGATGTCTTTGTCGCGAGTAGGTCAAGAATGAAGCCCTCAGGGTTCAGAAATTCTCTTATTCGGTTGATAAGGCACTGCAGCACCTGTGTGTCAACTACATCGGTATGTTAATGAAGAAACTTAAATTAGGGCAAATCAGTGCGCTCTAAAATAAGTCTGTATAATGGCATGAGTGGGGTCGGATGACCAAAATACCCCTGATCAACTTAAGATGGGAAGAAACATCCCCCAAACCCCTGAGATTTACCTGAAAAAAACCTGTTATAGAACGACAATCCAAACCATAGACTGGAAATGAAGGTGTGTAGGTCAAAACAATGTATTTCAAGACCCCATCAGTAAGTGTGCAAAATTGGGCTACTGGTCGTCCAAGCAAACGGGACGCACTGGCAAATCCGGTGGAAGGGGGTATCTAATGTATACGCCCCCCCCACTTTATAGTGGTAAGAATTTTTAAAGATGTATTTTGAGGATTTTTTCGAGCTTCCCAATAACTCATATACGCCGTTTGATGTAAGGTTAAAGGATTAAGGTAAGGTTAAATGACGTAAGAGATGTAGATAATAATGTATCATGAACAGCGTATCCTATAGTTTCATGTGGGATCCTTGGCTTCCCCCTCTCCTGGAATTTCCAATGTCGGCTAAGTTCTTTGCTTTAAGTCATCCCCTCCCCACATCCCGGCTCAGGGAGCATGAGACCGTTAGAATCCCAGGGTAATGGCGAAACAGTGCCCTAATGTCTAAATCGATTGGAGTGGCGCAGATGTCTGTGAGATGTGGCCGCGGGAACCCGCGCGCCAGTGGCCTCTTACTGCCAGTATGATCATGCAAGTGAAAGGTCGTGTCCGAAACGGGCTTACAGAATTACGGCAAAGGTTCATTTTCAGCACCGTACCTCCAACGGAACGGATACCTTGACCTAGCTGTAGACAACAGAGTGAGGAAGCCTGAGTCATTTACAGTAGGATTTTTTTGTGCAACAGATCTAGTCCGATGTTTCCCACTATTGTCTGAGGGTGGGAGTCTGGGAGCGCACTGCCTGCAGTCGGATTGATCCGTACGCATTGTCCAGGCGATAAGTTTTCTTTGATACACTTTTTGGCAAATTTATACTCTTTCTTAAACATTGAAGGTTGTATAAAAGCTTAACTGGACAACAAGGGCAACAAATGCTCTGCTCTCGTGTCAGAGAAGAAAGTCACTCTGCTCAGTTTATAGTGTCAAAGTTTCTGTTCAGAAGCTGTAAATCCAAAATTGGCCCACGGAAAAACACTGAAAGGTTGCTCGCTGCATTGTTAAGTACACGATATCAAAGAAAATGAAATTTGGAACAGCAACGTCAAATTCATCAGTTTTTTAATTGAGCACAAAACATGGACGTTTTCTCACTGGATTGAAATCAAAGTGTTTTGTTCATAAGTATGGAAATCTGTAAGCATAAACACACGACATCAAAATACCTTGAAATAGCACAAAGTTGACAATAAGTTCAAATGAAACAAGCAGGTGCCTTTTTCAAGGACTTTATTTTGAAAATAGCATTGCATAGGCTTTTTACCCCCAAACAATTGATATCTGTACGGTAAAGTTCATTGGTAGGGTCCAACGGGGATGGGACTCGGGGAAGGCGGGACATACTGTTTCCAGGGCTGTTTTTCCTACTTTATAACGTTCTAAGCACCCCCCGGCGGCAGAAATCAATATGTTGTAACACACCAGAGAGGGCGCACTCCTTGACTATGTTCTTATCTTCCGGTATGTTCTTATCCAGCGTTGTCTGTTGGCAGGGAGAGCCTTGTCGTGACAGTTGTGCGCCAGACACATAGAGCCTGAAAGTTGACCCCTTGATGGCTCGCTTCCGGAACTATGGAATTCCATATCTGCCGTCGTCCGTCACCTTTTGCTTTTTGTTGTGTCCCAATTCTGCCATTTACCAGTTCCAAACATGCCATTTTCTGTCGCCCGTCGTGCGTCGCCCGTCGTGCGTCGTCCATCAAATGGGTTGCATGGGACCTGCAAAAGCCGGGGTTTAACATATGACAATGTGATGATTCCATTCACTTTTAAGGATCTGTTCCTAATAGATCCGTACAAATCCCACCTGCCAAGCATATATTAGTCCCATAATTAATGCCAATAATGCTAGACTACCCCTGCCCCTTGATAAGAAAATATCGCCTTTCTGAGAATTCAACCAAGTATTTTTTGGGGAAAAACATTTTCAGCAAAAATGTTCAGGCCAACTTATCCTTAGTCTTATTCTAATTTGCATACTGTAAAAATGTGCCGACTTGTTTTCATCAAATTCTAGAAGGAAATCTGCCAACTGATACAGATATTCCATTTTGTCCTCTCAATTCCACCTTGAAATACAGAAATACTATAGACAGTGCTGTGGATAACATACTTTTTATTATTAGGGGGCAATTACCANCATATCAGCATTTATGAAGCTAACATGTGACGTTACTGTTTAAAAGACTTCTGTGAGCCTACCTGCAACTCAAGTCATGTCTAATTTGGAGTATACAGCAGATTTCATCATAGGTTTACCCGCCCTCAAAAAAATGTTGAATCAGTTCGTCTCTTATGAAACTATTAAGAAATTGAGCATTGTAAATAATTTATTATTTACATTCAGTTCTGTGCAGGGACAGACAGAAATATTACATAGGCTATAAACCTAACGTCAGGCCGTTAACGAGTAAAGTTACGTCTAGGGTAACTAAGTTATCGATGTAACAAAAATTGTATTATTTCATGTACGTCACTTTACCGATGTCAGTCTTCGGCGCAATTACAAAACCGAATACATCTTCTAGTTCTACTGCTAAAATGAGAGTCAGGCACGATGAATCGATCGATCAAGTACATGGACATGTGAAACGATCAAGGGTCAAAGTTAAAAATACCACTGCGCAATCGAGACAAAAAAACGGACGACGGGCGACGCACGACGGACGACGCACGACGGACGACGCACGACGGGCGACGCACGACAGCAGATATGGAATTCCAAACGGAACCCTTGTATAAGAAAAATAACATGCAGAAATTTTAGAATTTGTAATATTTTTTCGTTCGGTTACTTCTTAAAAATTGTACTCGTAAAAAGGCCTTGTGTAAAATATTTGCTGACATATCAATTTATGAAAACTGAAAAATAACCCGAAGTACCAAAAATTGACCTATCACTTCCGAAAATCCAAAATACATGAAGAACAGTGCAATTCAATGGTCTTGTACGCAGATGAACAATTACAGAATTATACTTTTTAGTGGTCCTTCGGTAAAAGCCGAAACAAAAGCAGACCAAATACCTTAAGTGTTTAGAAATTTATAAGGAAATAAACTTAAAGCAATAACGTGCTTTGCAAAAGCGTTTAATGTATAATAAAGCCTTTGCTTAGCGTCAAGAACTGCGTCAGCTCGACTGAATCTAGAGTCCATCGACTGCAGGTAGGTAAATCTTTGCAACGTTGTACAATCTCGTTTTCACGTAAGCACGGGGAGTGGAAACAAACGTAGGCCTGCATGAATAAGGAGAGGAACGATACTGCCGGAAGCGAAAGGTTGTTAATGAAATTTGCTTTTTACTCATCCCCAGTTGACTTTTCCTAAATGTTACTTGAGAAGGACAAAGGGACAATTCCAACATGAGTATTTCTTGGGGTGGTTTCAATAGTAATCACTCTTCCAAAAATGATCGGATGTGATACGACAGCCCATGTAAAATCCCCATACGCGGACCGCGCGAGGGTTCCGGAAGCTTACTGCGTAAAGTTTTACTTTCAGGCTCTATTGGCCCGTCTCCGCCATAGACTGGTTCCCGTCCCGTACGTAGTCTCCAGACGTGTTACAGATGTCCTTCGAACGTAGAGACCGGTAGCGGGTAATGAATCCTGTCGGGTGTATGTGTATGTAAATGAGGAAACGATGCCCGCTCAATGCATAAATCAAGCAGGAGCTGTTAGCATAGTTTGCTCTTTATTCC